TTGTACCAACTGAATATTTCTGGTTGCTATAACCGAATAGTTTTTTCCGTGTATAACACAGGATTTTGATTATATCTATGTCATTGTTGCATGATTTAATATTCCGAATAGAAACCAAAGACATGGTATATAAAATAAGCCAGCGCCACCGCGCACAATTGTGATGACAGACCTTCGACGAATACGGAATTGATTTTTCGAACTAGAAGTTTAATAGATAATCGTCATCCAATACTTTGAAGGCACTGGAAGGTCATTGAACTGTACGAAACGGGATTTCTCCCTTGTTAGACGGAAATGGGAATGGAGTTCTTACCATGACGAGCATGTTGGCGGCAGATGGCTTGACCTGCGTGCGAAAGTAATTGTGTGTGTCCACGATCTTTTGCCGTACCTTGCTGCTAGTGGTTCTTATTAAACTGACGGGGACTCTATCACCATATAGTCGTGGCGCTGAAAACAAAAAGAAAATATCTCCTTTCAATAACTGACATCTGTCACCAACGAAGGTTTGAGTTCGATAACTCTGCGACTACTCATTTCCCCTTTGCGAGGAGCAAAGGGAAGATCTTGTCCATACGCGAAAGTGAAGAGCAGAAGCGCATTTTGCTCTCGGCAAAATATGTCAATTAGAACGTCAAGAAATATGAGACTAAAGAAGGAGAAAAAAGAAGAATATAGGTTTCCATGTAACTGGAACGAAAGCTCGTGTGTTGTTTCATGATGTGCTTCCTGACTTCTCGTTTACTCGCGACGTGTCGCGAGGATTCTGATCAGTTCGGAAATTACGTTACCGAATGTGCTATTGAAAAATGGCAAGATTTTAAACGGATGCTATTCCCGCCACTACACGACACAATATCGTTTCAGTTGCTATTTCGATCACGTTTAATTAACTTTATTGTTGTTTCGCATAAACCGTCGCTTGGTAAAAACAAGATATTTTTTCCGCTTTTACCGCCCGGATTGTCAGGGGAATCGAAAACTTATCGTGAAACAATTTCAGACAGCAATATTGTGTGTATTTTTGAGCAATCATGGATCTCGTTCGGAATCGGCTTACCGTCGTTATGCGGAGAAACAAGCGACGGCGGTTTTCTTCAATCACGACGTGAAGTAATTCTCCGTAGCCTCGTCTCGATCAAAATCGACTTTCCGCCTGCTCGCGATGTATCGAGTAGCTTTCCGCGATCCTTTCGGGAACTACCATACAGGAATGTCCGTGATAGGATAACGGTGAAAACGGGAGCGTTTTGATCGAATATCTTTCCGGATAGTTACACGATGCGTTCTTTGATGTTCTCGTACACGAGAGCTTGAACCGTGGAACCTCACGAACTCCCGTTTCACAAATAGAGCATGCAGGATACGCAAAGGCGGCCGACAAGCGGTAATTTTAGTTAATAGAAGAACGAAAAGATAGAGACAAATGTTCTTCTCGTCGTATGAGCATCTTTAAAGCTGCTTATTTGAGGAATAATATTTCCCGCTACTCATAAAACTACGTATCAAAAGATGTTTGTACTTACTGGGCTTGCTCCTGTGGATTTTGCGTGGTACAGCAGCTGGCAGCGCCAGAGCCACTAAGACAATTACCCAAAGCCACTTCATTGTTTCCGTATATGAGCTGAAACATGAAATGCAGCCGTGTACATTCCAAGTTCTCGTTGCCAAGTTTATACAAGACATTGAAAAATTACATGTTCAGACTTTGAGATCGTATTGAATATTCAAAAGTGGGTTGAAAGTTTAAAACTGTAAGACATCTTTTCTTCGTGCATTACATTACGAGCAATTGATATTATGCAATTGGTCTTTTGCAAATTCGCCTTTGTCATTATCTGTTCGTTTTTTTTTTCACTTTACTCAAACCTAAACTTTACCTTTAATGTAACATTTAATTCCCAAGATAATCAATGTTGAAAATGACAAAAAAATATGAGGAAATGAGCTCTGCCTGGCGCATCGTTAAAGGAAAGTCGACTTTAAAACGACCGTAGAAATTGCAGACCAAGTTTCCTACGTAGTTTTATCTCCGTACATACAATTGTATTTCGATCAATCTTTTTCTCCCCGTTCTTGTTAGTCACTCGGTCGTCGAACTTTTCTAGCACAGCGTGCATGCACATGTGCGCAGCCTCAGTCGAGCGACATTTGCACCTGTGTGCGGCTCATTAATCACCATTCGCCTCGTCAACGGCAAATTTCATTATTTCACGCCCGCGAAACTGTGTCCATGGGCGTTATCAACCCCGCTATCAACCCTGACAACGCTGCCGCTATCATCAATAGCACGGCGCCCTTCGCGGTGGTAAACGTCAAAGGCAAATGGCACGTACGAAGACAGATTACGTTGAACGTTATTCGCGTTCACGCAATAGCTCACCAAGCGAACAAAATCCCTCGATTTTTTTGTTTCAATCGGCTCACTAGGCAACAATGAAATACTCTCAATGAGACTCGATAGTTTTTTCAATTCTCTCCAATCCCTTCGATTTAATCAAAGAATTTTAAAGCTGGGACTTTGTTCACTTTTATATTTGAGAAATATTGATAATTGGAATTCAGCATATACTAAATATTTTTATCACTTGGCATATATCAGTAAGGATCGATAGAAACTTTTAAATTGCATCTATCTATATTCTTGCATTCTATAATTGATCTACTTAAGCTGAGTGACTATTGTAATATAAAATTTGGATAATAAATATGGATTCTCCGATTATCCGAGATTAAATATAAAGATTGAATGTAGACATTTCCAAGTGTCCATTGCGATAAAATAGAAATTTTCTCAATTTATATCAGTGTCCATCCAATTACTCAAATCTTTAATGCACACTGTCGAGCAAGGAGAAATCATAGAAATGTATTATATCTGCATACAAAAATTATTATGTTCTCTTTAATACGAGGCTCTTTAGATGGCGAGACCAAAGCTCATCGTCTTCGTCTGTTCTATCTGCTGCGAAGACTTTGAGGACTTCGAAGTATCAAAGGAATGCAAAAAGGTTCGACCAAGCTGAACGACATCAAAGGCACATTTTGTTTCCTCAGTCCTGCGCACATTCCTATGTCCGCCACTTTTCATTTTCTCTTTTAGAATATCCGCCGTCTTCCGGACGAAAGATATTCCAATTCTCCCCCCTTCTAACGCCCCTTTTCTCTCTCGCAGACGGAGCGCATGCAAAATAGTTTAAGACAGATGATACATATGGATGCCTCTTGGCACGCTTCTCGAGTTGATTAGATTTTGATCACTCAATCTTGAAATCGACATAGGAAAACGTAAAGCATCCTCTTGTTCAATTTTGACGGCTTGCGACAAGAATTAATTACAAAAGTTTCTAAATTTTCTTTGATTAAACATTTTCATATTTTATTTTGCATTTAATCTGTTTTTAATATTTAATAAATGCTAATCTTATTTGACTTTAAAAGCTTAAAATTATATTATATCATTTTGCAATTTATATTTATTATTTCATCAATATTGTATCAAGAGATTTATTATACACCGAATATAAAAACGCAATTAACGATATAGGTACATATTTTAAGTATACAGTCCACGTATCGGATTTAATTGAATAAAGAGTGACTCTACGAATATCCAGTGGATTAATATCTAAAGTCCTCGGAAAGTACTCGCGGTTTCTCGGGACTCCGGAGGGGAAACGCTAATGCGAGCTCACCAAACATTTGGAACTTCGTACGGGCTGTTGCTATTTGCTTCGACATGTTAAGCACATGGCGTGCGGATGTCCGAGTCGTAATAACTATTCGCAATTTTGTTGGCCACGTTGGCCAGTTGCGCATATTTGAGGAACGGCAAAACAACACGAATGGTAGCAGAGTTTCTCCAATTCTCTCGGAATCTCTCGGAATCTCTCGGAAGCAGCGATCTTTTTGCAAGCGTCCGTGATCATTTTTATTACGACTGTCTTTAGCTTACAACGTCGCTTTATGAAGTTTTCCACCTTCCGTTTTTCAAATTCGCTCGTTTATATAAATTTTTTACTTTCGAGTTAACAAGTCTCGCTTAAAAATCTCAGACGTCTCCACCTGCCTACATTATCACGGAAACTGTATTTTCTGAATAGGTAGTGTAAGAGAAAAGAATTTTTTATTAGACAACTTTTTTACGCTCTATCGTTTTATGCTTGCAAGTGTACTTCGCATGTAAAAGTATACTGCGAAGTAAAAATTAGGATGTTATAAAAAGTACAAACACGTATGTACGAACTTATAATTAAAAGCATTACAACAATGTATAAATAAGTTAGATTTTACATTATATTTAAATATCAGAAACGCCAACATTTAAGACCCGTCTGCGTCTTGGCATTATTTCAAAATCGTACGTGACAGCATAAATTCACTCCTTTGTCGAAGCACACATGCGGTGCTCGTGGCTCGCCCCCCGAGGGTTAAAAGGATGCGATGGCGTCGTAGCACTACCACATTTATTGCACGTTTGATGTGCATCATAGTGTAGATAGATATAGTTTATTCTAATGCGAGCATGCGGTACGCCTTTATAGCGCAGCGCTAGTGGTAGAGGCGAAGTGAGGTCAGCCGTATCTGACCACAACCGTCGTTTCCACTGAAGCAATTCACTTAAAGTATGTTATAGCTTAATCTGCCCATACTCATTGTCAGTGCTCTTTCTTTTATCCTCTTAATATCTGTCTCACGACTTGTATAAATGTATTATCGAGTTAAACTATATAAAATATAATAAAGATGAATAATATAGACGTCATAGTATGAGAAGCCGAAATATCTAAAGTACTAAAAGTGCTGTTTCGCGTTAAAATTAGTTTCTCCGGGGTTTTTTCTACCACGACTCTGGTACTAATCTGCGATGGAAAATTAACGAGGCCGATCGAGTGCCACAAGGGATGATTCTTTTGTCAGTTGAGGTGGTTATTGCGAGTTTCATTACACACTCGGCGTTACATGGGGAATAAAGGGGCTGACGCTCCTTTCATCAAGAGTCAAAAGCAGCAGTTCGTCAATAATTCAGAGGAAATTTCAGACCGGGGATAAGCCCGACGGCAACCGCATTTAATTTGCGACAAAGTCCGTGGTCGACGAAGCACCGTGAGACGACGACGACGTGCGCGTGTTACCGCGTGAAACATGCAGCGCGTAATATCGGCCGCGTGTAAATTGCTCATAAATATTTTCACTTAATTTCGCAAATCAAGAGTCCGTCGCAGGGATAACAACGGCTCCGTCAAACCCCTCGGTAACGTCCCGTTTATAATTAAAATCATAATTGCGAAGTAGCCAGCCGACTGCGAGATGGTGTAACTTCTCGTTTTGGGACAACACTGGATTTAAGACCGTACAACGATTTATTGTACCGCGATAATTCTCTATATTTGTTCTGCAAACAAGAAACATTTATCATTGTAATACAATTTGAAACGCGATCAATGACGATATGCCAATTATTCACATTTGTTAATTAACGTAAATACGGAATCAATTTTCGCGCACTTTCAAACATATGCAAGTGACTGAATTAACGTGCATATTTGGAAACTTAAAGACAAACGCATCTGAGTGTGTTTTAAGAGAAATGAGTTTTAAAGTAAAAATATTTTTTATAAGAGAGAAATTATAATGAAAACTTTTTTTAAATTTATTAATGTAATTATGCCTGTGCAATCCGTAGAAATAGTTAGCGCCCTTTTTCTTTTTTTACTTAGTTTTCCTTCAGAGTTGCGATATGGTGACAATGTATTACAGCTGTAATGTGCTACGTAGAATTCATGGCGAATTATCTAAATGTTGATATAATACTATTATGTCATTTGCCTCCCTCGTTGCAGCAGCACAAAAGTCGAATTACAAGGCCGCGGACGACCTCTTTGACTCTCCGTCGTGGTCGGAAACGGGAAACTTTATCGATAGTTTCGCATTCCCCGCCATTAAACGCGGCTTTCGCATTCAACTGAATCCCGAAGTATCTCGCTAATGGGTACACCCGGGCTTTTGTGCGTTAAACTCCGAATGAATCGTCACCGCATTGCCGTCCCGACGTCGTTACTAACAAACGAAAGCATAAATCGACCGTTATTTCGCGGTGCACATGCACGCGCATTATATTTTTTAATAAAAAAAACATGGAAATAACATGTACGCAATACCGCTTGCAATTTGAGGCAGCAAAGCTACAAAGAGCCTCCGATTACGAAGTATCGTGTGTGGTGTGGCATATATTGAAATTTTATTCCGACAGTGAATATCGAAATTGCGGAACCATTTTTCATTTCGCGGATTATTTTTTTTCCGAAGGCTCGAGCGAAAGCAGTTTATTTTAAATGCGTTGCCCTGTTTGGGAAAACATCGTGAAAATATGATATGGAAATTATAATAAAACATTAAAAATATTATGCATGGAAAATACAAGTACATTTTAATAGTCGTCACGATAAACTTGTACAATATATACAATATTGAATTTCTTTTACAAATAATCGGTTTTTTTTCCATTACGTTTCCTATACAGGGTGTTATGTAATTCCCGCCTCACCTCTTATTTGCGGATAGAGCAGACTATACTAACAATAAGTCGAAAAGTCCTCTACCATTTTACAATTTTCGCAATAG